ACTGCAATGGCTTTGCTGGGACTCTTTTTTTCAGTTAGTGAGTTTTGCTACATCTGTCAGCTAGGGCAAGGCAGGCATGTTATGGAGAACCAGACAGAGCAACCATCCTGCAAAAGCCATTGCCAGGAGAGTAGGGAGCAGGATATTCCACTAGGGGAGAGGTGGACATGTGGGGCTGGTGAAGAGCATAGGTCTCAATGCACTGCAATAGGGCCAAGAGGCCAGAGCAGGCATATCTGTGCCCTGCGATGGGAGCTGAGACCCAAGGCCAGGAAAGCTGAGCTTTCACCCCATCCTGTGAGTGTCTGCATGTGTCCCTGGCCAGCGGGGGGGGCTCACCTGGATGAAGGCAAAGGCTGTGCCTGGTGGCAGGGGCTTGTCCTGGTTGGCCTGCTGGTGCCTTGTGTACTCCTCCTTGCCCTTCTCTAGGTAGAGCCTGTGCTCCTCCTCCAGGCTGAAGATGGCCCTGGTGGTCACTGCAATGATGAGTGCCTCACTGAGATCTTTCTGCAGGATGTGGAGGAAAGACTGGTTAGGGGACAGCCAAGAAGGAGCTTGTGGAGGTGGGGCTGTGAGAGAAACAGCCCTGTTTTCGCATAGTTAGGGATGAGGGGGTTGGGGAGAGGGGTCTCCTTACCAGGGTGGTGGGATTGGATGTGGGAGGCATCACAGTTCCTGATGCCAGACTGACTTTGAAGAAGAGGTGCCACCAGGCCTCTTCCAGGGGCAGGCAGTTGTGAAACCCTAACCTGTCTGGTAAGTGCCACATGGTCTGAGGACAACTTACACCAGAGGGGATTGCTTCATAATTTTGCTGTTTGTGGGCACAGTACAGCCATGATCATGTTTGTGCTGAGCTGGGCACTGCTAGGTGTCTTTGTGCATACTGCTGGTTTTACCCTTTATTTGTGTCTTCTGAAGAGTCTAATAAAATCTCTGTGTATGTAGAGGGTCTTCCAACATTCAAGTGTGAGCAAATGTCCATGCAACTAGAGCCCTACAACCTCTTCCCATGTGGAAATCACATAGACCTCACTGGGACCAGGTGCCCAGCAGGCCTGGAATAAGCCACTTCTGCTGAAACCTAGGCACAAGCAATTCAGGCCACCACATCTTTGGGTTGTGGTGTGTGTCTTCTCCTGCGGTGGCATTTCAAAACTTGCTTTAGAAATACAGGATGTGTTTTGTAATGAACACCCTCTTACCTGTTTCACATCAGTGTTTATGACTGTGCTTTCAGGATCTGCCATCTTTGACTTTCAGCCTTAGAGAGAAAATATGCAATTAAGCTGATATATTATAGCCATTCTAGAGAGGGGGGAGAGGGAGATAGGGGACATCCTACTTGCCAAGTGGAGCAGCCCAAATAAACCTGCTTATGCTGACAACAGCTCTGCTCCTGGAAAACCCTGTCGAATAGTTCCAATTAAATATGATGGAAAAGTAGCTTTTCACCCACAGATTCCCCCCACCCCCCCAAAAGTATTTTCCTCTGGGGGAACTGCTGAAGGCAGTTGTGGAACTCTTTTCAAGCAAAGTAAGTCTGGTTTTAAAAGCCAAAATTAGTCAGATTTTATGGATAGCCTTCTAGTTCACATACTTCTTGCTACTTTTGCTTGAATGGTGACTCTGTATCCACAAATAAGCAAGTTCACTGTGTGTGCAGCTGTAAAAGGAAAAGGTCTGGGTAAGAAGAGATGTATGGTGTGGGCTTGGGTGCAGGATGGGATCCCCCTTGATGGGGCTGGTCTGCTCCTGCACAGGCCTGTGAGCCAACTAGCCCCTGCACTGAAGGCCTCTGTGCAGGCTGTACTAACCCAGCTCTGGCAGACAAAAGGCTTGTGGTGGTTACGTGGTCTGCCTGTGCCTAGCAGCTGAATCATAAACCCCATTATTTTTGTACACCCAGGTCCTGTGGTTTCTGTAACAACTATGCTGTACACTGCATTTATATGTACTAGACTTTTAGGATTCAGCCTGTGGGACGGGAACTGTTCCCATTCCCACCAAGTAGGATCCCATGGTGATTATTTCCACTCAGTGGCTCCTACAAGTACACTGCAGGGTTTATCTGGGGAGCAAAGGCACCAAAGACTGTTCTACACTGATGTGCTGGGAATGCCAATGGGGTTAAAATCTCATTTACCAGTTCATGTCCCACCTGATTACTGGGTAATCAGTACTGATCTGTGCAAGCACAGACCAAAGCCAGTGTAAAGGGCAAGTTAGGGTCTTCAGGGAGACCTTCAATTTTGCCCAGTTTTCTTAATTAATTATTATTCAGGGATTGCAAACTGTTGCCTAGGCTGATAGGAAATACACTTGGCTCATATGAGTCCCGAGAACCAGAGTCTTACCACGGGGGCTGAATGCTTGAGTGTGCACTCCCTGACTGCCCCTAGGGTGGAAAGCTGTGCTGGCAGGACTGCTCCACCAGACAAGGGGGCCCTGGAAAGCCAGGAGATGCTGAATATCTGTCTGGTCCTCCACCCATATTCCATGCTGGGAAGGGGTCTCCTCCCAGAGAGCTGGGCACAGGGTGGGAGAAACCATCCTCTGACAGAATTTCAGCCAAGTACTTTTCCAAAAGTGACAACCAAAGGAGATGAGGCAGTGGAACCGAGCAGCCGTTCCCGGAGAGAGAACACCTACCTCTCACATCTGCCCTGTTCTTCCAAGCGCTGCAAGCCGAGCCTGACTTCTCCATTCCATCTCCCTGCCGCTAATAACGGCAGCATTGTCTGCCTACAGATACGCATATATGCGCACATTCCCGTTACGAGCAACCCCTATATATGCGATGCCAGACACACAGAAAGGCATTCCCTTGGGTGCTCGCTGGTCCCGCCGCTCACCCTAGAGCCGCGCAGCACGGAGCAGACAGCACCCCACCACACACAGCCGGGATTCGGCTAGAGAGGAAAGCACGGACTCACCGTGAGCGTTGCCGCTGCTCCCGGAGCAGCCTGTCCCGAGACAACACCCCACTTCTGCCCAAGACGCTGCTGTTTATATTTCCCCCCTCGCCGTGCTGGCCGGAAGCAGACAGGCGCTGGGCTGGGACGCAGCTCCGTTCCCTGGCGTGCTGGGATTTGTAGGCAGTAGGACCAGACTGCATTTCCCAGCCGGCACTGCACAGGCCGCTCAAGGCTGCCGAGGCTTCGCCATGGCCGCAGCGGGGCAGTGCTGGCAGCTGTGATCCTGTTTTTTGGCTCCCTTGGAACTTGAGCTCAGTCGCCACTCGCTGACCACAAGCACTGCAGCGATGTCTGTTTCTGTAGGGAGGTATTTACAGTGTGCCTCCAGACCTCTCATTTCCCAGCCCTTGAACACGTGATGGTTGTGGTTTTTACTGGAAAATACAGGGGTACGTGTTGAAGATCGGCTTGCAGCGTATGCAGTCAGATGTAGGGAGCTGGGCCTGGGAGAAAGGCTGATGCAGTGCGGTTGTGGGGCTCACCACATACACATTTTTGCTGTAATGTTTTATGCCCTTTTCCCTTCTTTTCTGAAAGCTGCCTCTTACATACTGCTCTCTGCAAGAGTGATTTTTGGGCTGGGATCTTGCTTTTCCAGGTTGGCTGTGCAGCACCCAGCCCTGTGAGGCTCATGATGCCAAGGTGTTTCAACACCCCCTTTCTGTCCAAGAGTGAGATTTGGGGCAGGGGGATAGGGGCTGAACAGAGGAGATGCTGCTGTACTGCAGCTTTTCCCTCCCCCAGCCGGGGCATGTCCCTGCCCTGCCAGTGGAAGTTGATCCAGCAACAGCGTCCCCAGCCTGGGTCCTGCCAAGGAGACCAAACTCACCTGCGTTAAGGCCAAGCAGCTGTCTCCCTGCATAGCACCAGGTTATCACTAGCATTACCAAAGTGTGAGCTGCAGTCAGAGTCCTGTGCAGCTTGACTTCACCAAGATGCTTCTCTCTAGCAAACAGCCCGTTGAAAAGACTGCTGATAATGCTCAGCTTTTAGCATGCATAGACAAACTCCCTTTCCCCAAGTGATTTTACTGGGCATTTCCCTCTTACCGCTGCTCCCCTTATGCATTTCTCCCATGCATTCTTTGCGACTGCCAAATTAGAGCAAAAAGTGTTTGGACGTCTGTGTGCTGCCCCCCCCTCCCCCTCCCCTCCCCCCGAGCTTTGCTGCAGCATTCTCACAGCATCTCCTGCTCCTGAAGATGATGCTTCTCTAAGCAGCAGTAGTGGAGGGCACTTGTGAGCAGGGCTGTATTTTGGGTGGCTGAGGTGAAGCCTCAGCACTTCTCCTGAGGCCAGACTCCTGCTGTGGCAATGCCCTGGTGGTCATGTGAAAATCTGGCAGGACTGGTCACCTGGGCTGGCCAGGCAGTGCTGGGAAGGGTCTGGTTTCTGGGGCCTCTCCCCTGTGTCAGCCATCAGGCACCAGTGGTACCTCTCCTTGCTTACAGCACCGCCCCAAATATCTGTGGTGAGAAGGTGGGTTTTGGGCTAGCATGGCTGAACCGGCAGCAAGGGAATGAGTGTGCAAGCATAAATTTAATACGACAGGGATGCTGGTGAAGTTACTCCTGGCCATGTGCCTGGTGCTGCTCCTGTTGGTGCTGGGGAATGGAGCCACCCAATCAGTATTCCCTTGCTCTGTCCTGTGTTGGAGTGGAACATCCTTGTTCATCCCTGCTGCCACATGCATTTCACAGACCCTCGCATGGTGTGCCATGTGTGCCCCTATGGGCCAAAGAGCTGGGCTCCCCAAGTGCAGAGCTCACCAGGGATGGATGCAGCATGTCACTCATCCCCTTGCAGGTATCTGTCCCCTTGTGCTAAGTGCCTGCAGCCACGTGAGCCAGCGTAGCATTGCTGCAGGGATAACTTGGAGAAGCAAATCTGCTGTGGCACAGAGCCGGGCAGTGATGCCCACAGGCTTCTTACAGGCAGGAGGGCAGCTTTTACTTCCTGGTCTGTCAGGGAGTTCCCCTCTGGCTTTTCACCTGCGTGAGCAGTGCTCGGGTCAGCAGTGAGGTGGGGCTGATGGTGCTGCTGGGGCCGCCTGTTTCCTGGGCTGGCAAAGCAGACTTTCCAGTTTCGTCCGTGCCGTGCAGCCACCATCCTCGCTGCACACTCTGCTTTGCACCCAGTTGGGACCCATCTCACCTGCAGCATGCCCCTGCTGCACGCATTGGCTGTGCCCAGAGCCTGCGCATCAGGGAAGAGAGACTGAGGCTGGGAAGGAGACTTGTTGGTAAGTCTGGTTTCAGGAATCGAGTCAGCACCAGGTGGGAGGGAGAAGCAAGGCTCCTCAAACCCGTTTTCCAGGGATGCTCGATGCTCCCTGCAAGGCCCACTGAGGCTGCGCTGCCTCTTCTGGTCCACAGCAGCACTGTCCCCATCGCCCTGAAATTGACGTGGCTCAATTCATGCCATGGGGCTGGGATGAGCTTGTTTTAAACCAGGGCCAATGTCACACCAATGTGACACAGTCCATGGGGGGGCCTGGCAGGGAGAATGTGCTGAGACACCTAATTCTGTGCTGGGTGGGTGCCTGCTTGCCTGCGCTGTTGTGTCCACCCATATCCACAGCCTGAAGCCACAGCCTGGCACCTCCTAAATACCACAGGCACGTCACCAGCCACCGCTTTCCACATGCAGGGGCAGGAGAAACTGATCATTAAAGCTGCTGGTGGTGAAGCTGTAAGTAGAGCTTGGGTGTCCAATGGCACAGACCTCCCCGGTGGCCCTGGGCAAGTCACTTAACATGCCCTTTATTGCCCCAGTGATGATGCTGCAGGGATGACAGCAATTCTTGTGTCCTTCCAACCCTATGCCTGCATGTGGCAAAGCCCATTGTTGGAAAAATTAAAGGCTTTGGCTGGCTTCACGGACTCAGTGGAGGGAAGTGCAGAAATGGTTTCTTCCTGTACGATCCCTCTGCAAGGGAGGGATCCATGTCCCCGTGGGGTGGGCAGAGCACAGGCAGAGCAAGTTGGTGTTGGCTGCTTGGGCAGGGACCCACGGGGATGTGGGGCAGGCAGCTGGTACAGCCAGGGCAAACAGGCACATACCTGCCAGCCTCAGTCATGGCACTGGGACCAGGTGCCACCAGTGCCATGATAGCTGCAGATCTGCTGGCTGCTCCTGGCACACCTCTCCTGCTGCGGCTCCTCACATGAAAGGAGGCAAGAAGGAAGTCTTGGCTATGAGGAAGTGTTCATGCTAGAGTAAGAGCCTTGCTGTGCAGAGAGCAGTAGTGGAAAACCATTCTGCTTTAAATTGAAGCCTCCCTTAAGCTGCGTCAGTGTTGCCATGTGCACAGGTCAAGCTTACGCAGTTTTCCAGACAGCATGACCCCAGCCTGGAGGCATCACTGTCACCTGCAGTGAAGGCATGAGCCCTTCTGCAAGCCCAGGAGCAAATCCTCCCATTCCTCAGCCCTGTGAGAGGGTGGGAAATAGTGGGAAAAGGGTGTTAGCTAATGGTGGGGCTGAGCAAACCCTTCACGTGCCTGGCCAGGGAGGAGCTGACATAAAACAGCTACTTTTTTTTTTTCCCTACAGCCTGGTGATCCCTTTTCTGAAGACCAAAGGAAAACTCCATTATCCAGTTACCCGCTCCCTTCCCTTTCTGAAGGCAGGTTTACAAGGATATAAATAAGGCTGTGGGCAAGGGGCTGTCTGGCCCAGAACCCTCCCTGCCCATGGCTCCCTCTGGCTCCATTTCACACCTCATTGCCAAAGTGGCCAAGCCCTAAATGCTTACACTGGCCTCTATGTTTTAATTGTGTTTCCTCTCATTAGAGCTCTGGGCCACTGGTACCAGAAGGGAAATCCCCACCCTGTTAATTTTGCTTGTGTCCCCAGGTCACCCCAGCTTAGCCATGGCACTGGCAGCCAGCAAAAGCAGAGCGACAGCCTCCACACTCACTGGCAGCCCCGTGGCCACCACCACCATGGTCCAGCCAGGCTTCCTGAGTGGCTGGCTTAGCCGCATCCCACGTGAGTATGATGGTGCTTGCCCTGCTCTCTCAGGCAGTGTTGTCTGGCAGGACTCCTGTGCTCTGAGGCTGTGTATCTACTTCTTCCTCCCTCCAAATCTCTTTTTCCAGAGGGGTCCGTCAGGGAGGGGATGCTGCAGAGTGGTGCTGCAGTGCTTCAGGATTACAGGGCATCCTTGATGCCCATTTGGGGAATGGTCTCCAGCCACAGCCTCCCTGCATGGGCCTTGTCCAGGATTATAGGGGCAGTTTTCAAGGTGTAGGTCCTTAATGCTGGAGCACCAGGAAGGGATTTAAATGCACTTGATACGTTTTTGCTCGGTTTTAACTCTTCTGTCCATCTCTGCTCCCTAAATCTCACACCAGTACCCAAATGGGCACTCATCGCTGTGGCTGTGGCAGCGGCCATTCTCCTCCTCCTCTTCCTCATCTGCATCATCAGGTGCTGCTGTGGCAAGAAGAAGCCCAAGAAGAAGGAGAGAGTCAGCTTGCACGCTGTCAGCAGCTCCACCACGGCCAGCCTTGTGTGTCCTGCTTTCCCCTCTCCCCCACCTCCCTCCTCCCTGAGGGGTTTGCTGCCATGCTGCCTGGTCCCAAGGATGATGGGAGCATGGCGTGGCCAAGGATGTAGCTGAGCACATCATAAGGGTAGTCCTGCTCTCTGCCACAGGTCCAGCCTGAGATGGAGGACCTGGAGCGGGGTGTGGAGCAGACAGGGCGAGGAAAGCTGCAGTACTCCCTGGAGTACATCTTCCGTGCACAGGAGGTGGGGATGCTCATGGCCACAGCTCAGCAGTGAAAAGGCTTTATTCTCGCATGGTCCCTCTTTGCTGCCTACTGAGGTGCACTCTACCCTCTTGCACCCCTTCCCCTGCCTGTAGCCTGCTGGCTCTCACACCTGTGTGACATGTAGGCATCCTCCCTTCTGCATTCACTTGCTTTCACCAAGCCCCCAGTCATCTGGCCCCATCCTCCTCCACCTGGTGACCTCATGCATCACTCCTTTTAAGTTGAAGGTTGGCGTGAAGCAGGCAGCTGAGCTGAAGGCCATGGACAGTGGAGGCACATCCGATCCATATGTGATCGTCTACCTGACATCCAATACAAAGAAGAGGTATGAGACCAAGGTTTACCGCAAGACTCTCAACCCTGTCTTCAATGAGAGCTTCACTTTCCAGGTAGGAAACTACAGCTGAGCATGTGTTTTTGTCACATCAAGAGTGTTGCATGAGCACTGCTCCCTGGGCAAAAACCTCTCCAGGCAGGGAGGTGCCTTTGAAATCAGGATTGGGAAGCATCAGAGAGAAAGACCTTTTATTGCATCTGCTGCTTTGTCCCATGGGGCAGGGCTGCCACCAAGGAGTGAGTCCAGGCTTTCGGGTCTTCCCGTCAGGTACCCCAGGCAGAGGTGCCCGAATCTACGCTGGTGATGCAGATCTATGACTTCAACCGTTTTACCAAGCACAACATCATTGGTGAGGTCCGGCTGCCCCTGGCCACTGTCAGCCTGCAGCATGTCATTGAGCAGTGGAGTGACCTGGTGGCAGCCAGTAAAGTGGAGGTTGGTCCTGGTGGGTAGGAAACCACCACTGTTGCTTCTCTTGCTACCATCCTGAGAAACAGGCTCTTAAGAGCAAATATGAGGGTGAGGGAGACCCAGGAAACCTGAGGCCAGCCTGGTGCTGTAGCCTCAGGTGAGCTGGCTCCTCTGCTGGGTTCACATCACTGGCATCTCTCCATCAGGAAGAACAGCTGGGCGAGATCTGCTTCTCTCTGCGCTATGTCCCCAGCACTGGCAAGCTGACAGTGCTCATCCTGGAAGCCAAGAACCTGAAGCAGATGGATTCTCATGGGCTCTCAGGTCAGTAGAGGCTGCTCATGCTCAAATCTACCTACTCCTTAACGCTGGCGCCCACAGCTGCAAAGCCTTCAAAGCTTTTTGTGCCAAGACCTGCTTCCTGCTGCCACGACCGTGCTCAGCTCTTGCCCAGCTCCGATGCTCCAGCTTCTGGCAAAGCTGGAGGTATCTGCCAGGAGGAGATGTCATGACTGGATGGTATTGTGGCAGGAGGAAATGAGCTCTGGGGTGGCTGGCAAGGGAAAGAGGGGTGGATGGTCAGCGTGAGGAGTGACAAATGGGATGCCATGCTCTTTCTGGGAATAGCCCAAGGAAGCTGTTTCATGGCTGAGCTCCTCAGTCAAAAATTGTCACTTGTGCCAGCTGTGTCCTCTCTCTTCTCAGATCCTTTTGTGAAGGTGCATCTCATCCTGAACAGGAAGAAATGGAAGAAGAAGACCACAAGTGTGAAGAAAAACACTTTAAGCCCTTACTTCAATGAGGTGTTTGTTTTTGAGGTGCCTTTCAATCAGATCCAGGTGGGTTTCCCTACTGTGCCCAGTGCTGAGCGGGTCTCCACTGTCGTGAGAACCTCCCACTGACTCTCTTTCTTGTGCCCCCCCTACAGAACGTGGATGTGGTCATCTCCGTCTGGGATCACGACAAAGTGAGCAGGAATGAGCCCATTGGCAAGCTCTTCCTGGGCTGCCGAGCCACGGGCAACCAGCTGCGGCACTGGTCCGACATGCTGTCCAACCCCCGCCAGCCTCTCGCCCAGTGGCACAGCCTGCAGCCCCCCGATGTGGTCGACAAAGCCCTGGGGCTGAAGTCCCACCTCAAGCTGCCTCTGCCCCCCAGATAGTGTGGGTCCCCTCCTCCACCTGGGGGGCAGGGCACAGGGCTTGCAGGCAGGTGGGAGGCTTCTGTTTAGCAACATCTGGATAAGTTTTCCCTGTTCAGTATCAGCAAAGAGGGGCCTGGAGGCTCTTTTTTGGCCAAGAGGTGATCTTGGTGCTGGTACCCTGTGTGATGCCCGGAGCAGGGCTTGGCACCCAGGGCAAGGCTGAAGTGGAGCAGAGGATACTGGAAGGGACTGTGTGGGTGCAGGAGCCAGACAGGGGGATAAATACACAGAGCTTCAAGCACATGCAAAATCAGAGTCCATTGATATTTTTCAAGTGGAGGATTAATATGCCAGCAGCCTGTGGTGGGCAGTTTCTTTGGTTGTGAATAAATTGGCAAGAGGTGAGTGTTTGGGAAGGCTTTATGTGTCCTATGAAGGCTTTTAAGCAAGACTAAGGTCTTGAAGCTCCCTAAGAGGCTAAAAGGATAGAAAGAGGACAGGCTAATGAAGAAGGTGTTGGAGATACAGGACTAGTTCTTTAATGCCTCTGCAATATGTGTGCTCTGTGTTCTGGCTAAAGGCTGAATGAGACAGCAGAGTCAGCCGCTGTTTGTCCACATCGCTTCACTCTTAGTCCATTTCCAGCCCATGCTAACCTGTGCTGGCAAGGTGTGACTCAGGGTATGGGATTCATCAGCAAGCATCTCCATGGACCATGCAGATGAGGATACCCAGCCTCAGCTCCATCCACCTTACATGGTCCCACAGTACTAGTGCAGCAAGGTTTGCTGGAGCTGCTGCCAGGGTGGAGGGGCTGAGGCTCTCACTTTCATGTCATGATCACACTACCCTGATGAGGGCTTGGTTGCAGACCTTGTGTCACTTCTGAGCAGGTTGCATGTAATCTGGGAGGTTTTTGTGGCCACATGTCCTGCCCTGACCTGCTTTATGGGACCTTGGGGTGAGACCTGTGTAGTAAAGAGCCTTCCTAGAAGGATGGGGGCGTTGGAGAGGTGCCACCTTCTCTATCTGTCCTTGAGTACACTCTAGTTTGGTGTGGCTTGAGAGCAGCTCCCCTGAGCCACCTGCAGGAGGAAGCTCACTGCATTGGGCTGGACGAAGGAATCACCCTTGCTCTGAAATACTTCAGCTACAAAGCAGCCACAGCACCAGAAGATTTGGGTTCATATCATGTAATTGCAGCCAAAAAGACAAAAGTAATTTGCACCATGGGAAGCTGTGGGCACAACTCTAATAGCTGTTGCCTGAGCTCTGGAGGAGAGAGTGCCTGGTGCATTAATGAAGAGCTATTAATATTGGAAAGCAGTTAATCTGCAATTACCTGGAGCTCCATGGAGCGACCATCTGAGAGTTAAACAAACATAGTGAAGCTGAGGAAGATTATGAAAACTCTTGATAGAGATTAATGGCCTGAGCTTAACCATAAAAAGCTGCTGTGTCTGCTTCTTGATAAATATTGTCCAGGCTTCTCCATGGCCATGATGAGAGAAGAAATGACAGGGTGGTTTTGAGTCGGCTATAACAAGTGGAGTATGCCTTCTGCTGGAGAAATAGCATCTGCTGGCAGCTGCTAATGAGATGAAGGAGGAAATCAGTCACCTGAGAAAGATGTGTAAATGGATGCTTTAAAGCCTCAACCTTCAGCCTCAGCCTTAAATCAGGCTGGAAAAGGCTGTGCAGAAGGGAGCATTTCTGAATTGGGTTTGGGGTCCCAAATCCATTGCCAGGTTGTTTTTTGGTGATGCTGTGTGATGATTTAGGGCCATGCAGGACCCAGAAGGGCTTTAGGAACAGGCATTTTTTATTTGTGTGTGTTTTTTTCCAGCTCCCTTTTCTGAAGTCATGGCCTTGAGGTTCACTGCATAATTTATGCGGCCAGGCATAAAAGCACATGGTTGTTAGTCCCAAAATGGACATGGCAGAAGAAGGTGCAGGGATGTCCCCTCCTTGAGAAATGTTACCCCCAGTACCAGTGCCCATTGCTCCTCTCTGCAGCTTTGGCTCTGCTTGGAGGCCAAATCACCAGTGCAGTCCCATGGACAAGGGAAGCCCATGGTACATTTAGGAGGGAAGCCAGGGAAACTAGGGCTGAGCACCTCCCTGGTCTGGCTCTGGACAGCCTGGAGCAAGCCTTCATGTGGTAAAACTCAGCAGACCCATTAGTTTGCTGAAGAGGGAGGGGTGAGCAGATGGGCCCAGCTCCAGTTTCTAATGCACTGCCAAGGCTGCTTTCTTCCCTCCTCATTGCTTTTCCTTCTCAATCTGCCTTGTGTTCTTGTAACAGGGCTTTAAGCACTCTCCTCCTCTGGCAGGATCCTCTTAGCATCTGGTGGTAGCTGTTTGAAGCAGCGGTGGTGGAGCTGGGCTTTGTTTGGGTGAAATAAGCCATGGCCTTTCAGTTCTTAAAAGGGGCCTATATGAAAGATGGGGAGAGACTTTTTAGCAGGGGCTGTGGCTGTTGTGATAGGTGAAGGGTAATAGCTTTAAACTAAAAGAGGGGAGATTTAGGCTGGATGTGAGGAGAAATTTCTTTATAATGAGGATGGTAAAACACTGGCACAGGTTGCCCAGAGAGGCTGTATAAGCCCCATCCCTGGAGACATTCAAGGCCAGGCTGGATGTGGCTCTGGGCAACATGTTCTAGTTCAAGATGTCGCTGCTCATTGCACGGGGTTGGACTAGATGACATTTGAAAGTCCTTTCCAACCTGAACTATTCTGTGATTCTATTCTATGGTTCTTCTATGATTCTATGAAAGTGAGCACAGCTGGCTCGTGAGCCTATTCACAGGGAGGGGGACAGCTGTGTCTTGCGTGCAAGCGTCTCCTTTTCACCTCCTTTTGCCTTGGTAAGGTTAGTTGTCCCTCATCTACCAAGCACCTTTTGCCTGACCAATGCTCCTCGTGTACTTGGAGGGTCCTGCAGCAGGAGGATTCCCTGGTGGAAGGTGCGACAAGAGAAATTAAAAGAAGGGGAAAATCAACTCCTCAGTTTATGTCTGTGCTGGATTCCCACGTCTGCATCTAGAGGGCAGGGCAGGTACATGCTGTGAGCTGGGTCTCGATGTCATCTGGTCTGTGGCCTCGTTAGAGCCTCCCCAGCAAGGATTTCTTCTGTAGATGGGAGTGTCGGGGAGAGGGAGAGCAAGCTGCGATGCTGTGGTGCAAGAACGTTCCCATTGCCACAGAGCCATTGGCAGCCGTTCAGTGATGCTGAGGGAGTCCAAGGTAGGCTTTTCCAGGAGGCAGGAGCCAGCCCTTGCCTGATCCTGCACTGCCAGGGTAAAGGAGGTTTTGCTGGTGGGTTAATGGGGTCAAAAGCAAGTATCCAAAGCCAGTCTGCACCGTGCAAGGTACCTGAGTGCTGGGTGAGGTGCTTGTTCCTCTGCTTCACACAAGGGACAGTCCCTCTGCATTTAATTAGCAGCTTTGCAGTGCAGTAGCAAGAGGAAAAGCAGTGCTTGAGCCAGGCAGAGGTCTGTTAAAGGAAGCAAGAAGTACTGACAATTGAGATGTTTTTCATTAAGATTTATAATCTCCATTATTTACATCCAGATCCAAGACTCCTGACCTCCTGAAGTCCCTCCCAAAGCAAATTATTCCCCTGTTCAGTGATTTTTATGATATTTGTCCCTGCACTTCAGGAGATCAAGTGAGAGTGCTGCACCAGGAGAAGGCTGAGCCTTATACCTGCTTGTCACCAGTCGCCTGCCGTGAGACAGAAACGATTATGGGCTGTCATCTTTCAGCCTGGGTATGGGCTGGCTGTCCTCCAGCCACAGATTTTTTGGCTAGTCTCACAGTTTTTGAGAGCTGGAGAGTATCTAAGCTCTACTCACCAGCAGCACGTGTGCCTGTTTTGTAAATATTCGTTAGCTAGCATCATTACATCTTGCCATTTTATAGGCAAAACGTGTACTTTGCCATACATGGGTTTCTCTTTTAAAATCTCCAGCTTCTGGATTTGTCATGTGCAGGTTTGCACCTCTTTCTTTGAAAGAACACTTTTATCCTTTGTGGGTGAGAAGGTACCTGAGGGTCTCTTCCAGCTCAAAACCCAGAAGAAAAGTGAGAGGATGGTGGATGCTGGATCCAGCATCCTGCCGTTACCTACAGTAAAGCACTGTGGTGGGGGGGGGAAAGCTTGCTGAGGGTCCTGTGCAGTGCAGGGCCGGAGGGATGGCTGCTCTCAGCCAATTGGCCTTTGGGAAACTCCAGTGGGAAAGAGGGGTGCTGGGAAAGCCACCCTACTGGGTGCCAATGGTAGAGGGTGGACTGGAGAGGTTGTGCCTGGGTGCTGGAGTCTCCAAGGGGGGTGCATGGGTAAGAGTGGAGGGGGGAATGGGAGGTGGGCTGTGGGTTGATGCTGACCTTGGAAGAGATCTGTGATTTATCACTCTGTTTCTAAAGCTCCTGGCCCCTTTTTGGTTTTGTTTTTAACTGACACCATGTTCTCACTGCTGCTTTGTTTTGGCACTGAGAGCCTGAAGGATCCTTTGAGAGCAGAGACATGTTGCAATAGTACTCTTTTGAGCACTCAGAGGTCTCAGCCTGTTCTCCAGACATGTTCTGGGTCATGTCCTGGTCTTTAGCAGGTTTTGAGGATGTGCAGACACATGGAAGATTGTGATCAGGTGTCAGGTCACTGTGGTAATACTATCCAGGGCAGGCTTGGTGTGAATGCCAGAGGGATCACCTCCTGGATGCATCAGCTGCTGGGCACAGAACAGCATTGGGCAGAAGTTCTGGCTTTTCAAATGGCCTTCCAGGTCAGCCTGCGGCCATGGAGACAGGGCCATGCTGTTTTAGGGTCTGAGGCACCTTCGGTGTCAAGTGTACTGCGTTGAAGTGCGAAAAGCTCTTCCAAGGGGTGAGGTGTGTACCCAGGGCTGAACTGGGAAACAAGAGATCATAACCCTGGCTATGAACACAGCCTCCCCATTGCTGGAGACTGAAGCTCCCAGTGGCTACTGTGGTCAGAAGGGGCTTCATCCAGAGGGGTTTTCTGTTACTTGCCCTCTCCCTGCAGTTGCTCTTCACCCCTTTGTGTTTTCAGTCTAAAATGCTGCCCTTCCTCCTGGCTCTGGTTTGCAATGAATTGCAAACCCCTCCAGCAGCCCA